CGCTCTGCTGCTGTCGCGGCCGCCCCGGCTCCTGGCTCGACCCTCGCTCCCGGCCCGCCGGCCCCTCAGCGCGCCCGCCCGCGCCCCGACCTCCTTCCCCGCCGCCGCCTCCCGCAGCAGCATGGACGGCGCCGGGGCCGAGGCGGTGCTGGCACCTCTCAGGCTAGCAGTGCGCCAGCAGGTACCGGAGTTTCGCGCCCCCCTCGCAGCCCCCGGCTCTCCTCCCCGGGTCCCCTCCGGGTCACCCTTCCCTCCTCCCCGGGCACCCGTCGCCCTGCCGGTTACCCCACTCCCTCCATCCTCTGGCGTCTTCCTCGCGTCCCCCACACGTCGGCTTCCTTCCCTCCCGCGGACCCTCGTCCTCCCTCTCCTTGGATGACTCCCTCGATCCCCTTGGACCCCCCGCGTCCCTCCCCTCCCCATCTGTTCTCCTTTTCCAGTCCTTGTTGCTGCCCGCGCCTCGTCTGTCTCCGAGAGGGCTGGGATCTGTGACGCTTTGGTTCTCCTCGTGTCCTGACTGAATAGCCTTAACCTCGGCTTTCCAGTCCCTGCTGTGCTCTTTGGGCATCCTGGGTGGAGCGGTTCCAGATCCCGTCCCTGGTCAGCAATGAGCCGAGGCTACCGCTTCTCTTGTCTTGCAGCCAGACTGCTTCATCTTCAGCGTGCTTTGAGTAGCGTTTTCTCCTTTACATCTTCCTTCATCCAGTGCTTAGCCGGATGATCGGCTGAGAAAATAAAGAGTTGAAACGTGGATGGGGGAGGTGTCGGACTTTCTTTTCTAATGATGACTCGAACTCATCATCCTTCGCTCCTGTCATCTTCTTTGGTTTGTGACAAGGCCATTTGGAATGAGTGAGCTTTCAGGTCGTAAACCCGGGAAACTAAATGTTGCTGTGTTACTCGGTGAAGTCAGCCTTCTTTAGTATGGAACATTTTGAGATTTGATTTTGGGGGAGGGAGGTTTCGTGGGCTGGAGGACTTGGCGATTGTATATAGGCTTCCTTTTCCTAGGGCATTGCGTAGAGATCAGAATTTAGAGAGGGCGAGAAGATGACTTCAGATGATTCCCACATCCAGTTAGTTAGAACCAAAAGCTTGCAGTAGGACCCCGGGGATCGTTGACCTGGTAGTAGACACCAAACGGGTTTCTCCTGCATGGGCGCCTGATGCAATAATTTTCCTTACGGAGGGTGGAACCCTTTCTCGGAAATAATTCATTGGAGCATCGCTTCCGCAAATGCAACAAATTCAGCCACTTTGCAATCTCTGCTTCTCTCTACTTTGAGCCTGACTGATTTAATAGCCTTTTATTTTGAAATTTCACAATGGGCTTAATTTTTTTCTTCTTTATTAGTATCAGGACAGTGTATGCTTATTCTCTCCCTTCTCCCACCATCTACTCCCCAAATAAAATTAGATGTGGTTCCTTTGTCTTTTCTGTAACTCTCAATTTTTTTATATCCTTGCCTTTAAAAGGAAGAATACATCTAACTTGGAAAAACACACACACCCAAACCCCTCCCTCTGCCACGTTAGCCTGGAACTGCACAGCAAATTGTCCATCTGTAGTAAGACTGGATCTAGTTAACTGAAGTAAACTTTGATCGTGGAACAGCCTCCCAGTGCTACTACTATCTTGTGTATCATTTATGTTGGCTGGATTGTTAAATTTTTTTGTACTTTAAGTTATTTTCCGAATATGTGAGTTAGTGCATGTAAGTTAGTTTGGGTTCTTTTTCTAATTTTCCAGGACCACACATATATCAGTTAATTAATTGCCTGGAACTTTGAATCATACGGAGTTGAGTGTCAGCGGGAGGGAAATTTAAAAATCACCTAATTAAACCCCTTTTTCTGTATATGGGGAAATGAAACACACTGTCACCTCTATCCATTTTACATATTTCCATTGTAAAGTTTGTGCAATTGAAGATCTCTCTGGAGTGGGATTTTTACGGTGATTAAGGAACTGGTCATGTTAGTGACATGTGCTTCATATAAATTTGCTTATTTGGAAAATGAATGAAGTCTGTCACTTCAGGAAAACAACTTGAAGTATTTGTGGCCAACAATAAGATTCAAACTTTTGTGAAATTTTAGAATTTTGGAAAACTTGTATCTGTTACAAGTTTGGCAGCTTCACAGTACTTAAAGACTTTTCTGGTGAGATGAGTGGTGATATTACATGTGCATTTTTTGACATTGTATAATAAATGGATTAATATTTGGAAGATCTACATAACTGTTAACGGATATTTTCCAAGTGACCAATGCTTGATGTTATGAAATCAGATATTGATAAGAGATCCATTCAAAGTCTAAGATAATGGATTTAATGTCAGAGTACAAAAAGTTCATTGTTAAAAGTTTCTGAGTTAGAAATAACCTTTAAGAAACTACCACTTGTCAGAAGTTTTATGTAGTATCATAGAAAATATCCATAGTTATCTGAAAAGTCTTTTAAAACTCTCCCTTTTCCAGCTATATGTGCTTTTCTCTCTTCATATTCTTTATCCAAAGTACCATATTTCAAAAGAAGCAGATATGAGAACCTAGCTGTCTTCTATTAATCTAGAAGTTCAGAGATTTGCAAAGTTATGAAACTGTTTCTTCTCGCTATTTTTTGTTTTATTTTGGAAAATATAGTTCTTTCCATAAAATGCTGTTTTTATGCATGTAAGCACACATTGAGCTTGTATTTTAAATGAATTAATAAATATTTTTTAAATTTCTATTTTAATTTCTAATATAGTAAATATTGATAAAAGTAGCCCGCATAAACAAAAGCTTTTGGGGGTCCTCAGTGATCTTTAACAGCACAAAAGGGTCCTGAAACTACGAAGGTTTAGAACTGTTGCTTTAGGGTAATGGAAGTATCTGTATACTAATGTGAAGACAGATTTGGGCTGTTGTCTGGAACACAGTCCCCCAGAAGTTCCCTATCCCCCAGCCTGTTTTTTCCTTTACAGCCAAGGGTTTTCTCCTATACTTTCAGTTTCTACTTTCTCATTTTCCATTTGTTCTTATGTCCACTACACTCTCCCTTGACTTCCACCACTGCCCTTGCTTAGTATCCTAAAAGGTACTTTTGTATGATCATCACATTTTACCTATCTTCAGCATTTAACTGTTGACCACTCTCTCCTGTCAGGAATTGCTTCTCCCCCACCCCCTTGGCTTTGTCTAAACAAGTTAAGTGAGATTCAGTAACTGAGGAAATACATGTCTCAGGATTCTTGGTGCAAACAGGACCTGTTGATGACTTACCTGAGGTGGAGGTTCAGGGAGGAACTGGCATAGAGATTTGGTGAGATATTTTCTGTGTTATTGTATAGACTTAAGAGGCCACTCTGAAATGATTTAGGTAGATGTGGCTTGATGCTCTAACAAAGTAACTAGTATGGAGAAAAATAATCAGGAAGGATTTTTTAAAACATGTAATGGAACTTAATAATTTTCAGGATAGGAGAGGTTTTGAAGAATTGCTAGATGTGCTTTATTTATATCTCTGCCTATTTTTTTATGTTGATGAGTATTAAGTACTGGTGGCAGTACAGCCTAGTAATTCAAAGTCTAGGCTCAGAAGTTATATTTCCAGAGTTTGGATCCTGACTTTGCTGTCTATTAGCTGGTGACCTTAAGCTAATGATTCAACCTTTCTGTAGCCAAACATTTTCATCTGTGATATGAGAATGGAGTTATAAACATTAAAATGAGATAATTCATGTAAAGTGCTAAGAATGCTGCCTGTAGTATATATAGTAGGCTCTTGGTAAAATGTTAGGTATTATTTATTCTGAAATGATTGTGGCTTATTGGAATGCTGGTTTTAGCAAACCTTGCTGGCACGGAGCTAACATATTTTCTTGTGATTGTCAGTTTGATAGCATCAAACCTTTATAAGAGAATTGATGTCTTCTGGATTTGCTCAGATATTAGAAAAGCCTTTTTAAATGATTTCTTTGGAGGGTTTATATGATGTATTGTCTGAATCACTAATGACATGAATAGTTGTGTAGATAATAATGTATGTTTCAGCATTTCAAGTTTTCATTTACTTTAATTGGAAGGGACACAGTAAAACTCAAATCTCAGTAAGTAGTGAGAATACTTAGCATGAAGAGCCTTGGATTTTTCTCTGCGTTGGTTTTCTAAACTGAGAATGCCTGTTAAAGCTCTTCCTTAATCTACAAAGGGCAAATGGAAATTTAAGGTTTTTGTTAAGTTATAAAACATTTGGAAATCTGAGATAAACTTCTAGCCGTGTGTGTAAAGGCAAACATCTTTCAAAGATGAGGAAATGTTTTCTTGTTTTTCTTGGCTAACTGAAAATGCAAGTGATATATGTGAAGGATCCATGAGGAAGATCCCTAGGAATGATTTTCTTATCTAATAACCACTCTGTTTTGTAATTATAAACTTAGTTCTAATGTACGTCTTTATGGTAAGAATTTATCCAGAAACTAAGCTTCTAGTTGATGTTTCCGAAGAGTAATTTAGAGATGTTGTTGATATTTTATGTCAGTTTCATTCAATATAAACACAATACCCCCAAAAATATAGTTGGGTGGTGAAGAAAGAGAAAAGAAAAATATTTAGAAATTAGGAATCCTTAAGTACTTTCATTCTGTATGTAGATAACCTCCAATTCTTTTGCTTTCAGGACTGGGTCATTGAAAATCATGATTCTAATTATTCCATTATTCAGAAAAAAACATTACTATTTCCTTTCTTCAGTGAGACTTTAGAAATGGGTAACTCAGTAGAAATCCACGCTCTCACGCTACTTCTGTGTGTTAGCTAGCCTCTGCTTCAGTATAGGTGTGCCTGAACCTAAAAAGATAAAAAAGTGATTCAGGGCAGTGGGTTTTAAATTCTTCCTACCTGTTTACTTGGTAGCCTTACTTGCCCAGTGCCTTTTAAGTTCTAAGAGAAAATAGATTAAATATGTGGGAGTGCCAACAGTTGACATACAGGGGGAAACATTCATGAGCATGACCTGCCTGCTTCTTTCAGAAATTCATAAGGGACTTCTACCACCTCTTAGAACAAAGTCTCTCACAGACTTCTTATCCCCATCAAAAGGCACAGTTAAAGAACATATATGAGATAGGTGTTCTGACAGGTAGAGGAAGGGAAAACACCACTGAATGAGTAAAGAATAAGTCAGTAGAGGGCCGGCCCGGTGGCGCACTCGGTAGAGTGCGGTGCTTGGGAGTGCGGCGGCGCTCCCACCGAGGGTTCAGATCCCATATAGAGACTGCTCCGCTCACTGGTTGAACGCGGTGCGGGCGCGACACCGAGGGTTGCGATCCCGTTGCTGGTCGCGGTACGGGCGCGACACTGAGGGTTGCGATCCCGTTACCGGTCACGAAAAAAGACAAAAAGGAAAAAAAAAAAAAAAAGAATAAGTCAGTAGACATTTACTGAATGCATTACTTGGCACTGTGCTAAGATTAGGTTGTACTATCAGTTAACAAATATTTGAGTGCCAGAATTGACATGCCGGAATTCTTGTCCTAAAAAAGCGTACTTTATAAAGATGAATATAGATAAAATGCATATAAATAAGTTAAATAAGCCAGTGCATTCATAGGGTGATTTCAGGTATCGTAATGAGGAAGATAAAATGAAGTTAGGTGATTGGGGATGTTGCTTTAGCTAAAGAGGTCAGGATGATAGGATAAAAATTGCTGGTATAATAATAGACCAGACTTATTTGTATATGATAAGAGAATGAGGGGAATAATTCCATGGCTCTCAACTGTATCAGACCCAGTGTCTCATTTTTTCACCAAGTCTTTTGGAATTCCCTATTACTGTCCTTAATGAAACTTATATAAAAGATCTACCTAGATTTAATTAAAGGAAAATATGTGTATACATAATGTAAATGTAATAGAAAGAAATAAAAATAATTTATAATACATTCATAATAAAATAATATGTATTTCAATATGTTGACTATTGGGTATGACTCCACTGAAGTTATGATGAAGTAAGCAGATGCTTATACCTACATGTAGATTTACTGTGAATGCAGCTGCTGTAAATGCACCCGATAAAGGCATATTGAATTGGTTATTCAGATACCAGAGCAGTGTAGCCATTGGTGACATGTTTTGTTTTTTCAAGTAATGAACAACTGTTTGTAAAATTCTGAACAAAACAAGGTATAGTCTCCCTTTAAATTATGTTTTCTTGCATGCATTCCTGGAAAATTCATTGTATGTTAAAACTGGGAAAATACTTCTGGTTATATGTAAGCAGAGTTAGGTTCTAGGTTCAGTAATTATAACAGTTTTTCTTTTCTTTTCTTTTTTTTTTTTTTTTTTTACCTTCTGACTGGGTCATTGTAAAGGAGCATGAGTTGCAAAGCAGGGAGATTGTCATTGGATGAGGGGAGGAAGTGGGAGCTTAGAAGATGATAACAGCAAGGGGAAAGGGTGATGACAGGCTCCCCAAAGGAGCTGGGGTTTTAGGAGCAAAAAGGAATCAGTTTGAAAGTACGGAGGGGAATAAGGAGAACATCTGTCCCATCTCCAGCCTTTGAGGAATGTGGGAGAAAACCCAATCTCTACCTGAGACACTTTCAAGGGGAGAAATATCCTCAATTGTATGGTTGGAATATTTGAGAAATGCTTCGTAAAGGGTATGGTAGAATTTCATTAAGTGAAGGGATGTACTTTTGGGTAAGAGGATAAACATTGAAGGCATGGGGATAGAAACATTCATCAAATTAAGGACATTGTGCGTTTGTAAAGAAGACCTACAAGGTGGGAGAGAAATGACATGAATTAACATCATTTGGGCCAGGTCTAATCTTAATGTAGACACCTTTGGATGGGAGACAAACTGGTAATCTGTCGTAACAATCTAGTTTATGAGGGGGTAAAAAGGTGAGATTAGATTGGGAATTTTGAAGTGAAGTTGACTTCAAAGGTAAAGAAGGATAATTTGATATTTTTTGCTCAGGACTTGGTAGATTTTATTGCCATTAATGGATGGATAGCATACACAGGAGAAGGAACAGTTTTCAGATAGAGAAAACAATTCAGTTGTAAACAGGTTGGTTTAGAGATATGTATGGCCACGCCCAGGTTCAGGTGCTTTATAGCATAATAGCTATCATTTTTTGTGTGTGTCTACTGTGTATTAGGTACTGTTGAAAATACTTTATTTAAATTGTTTCATTTACTTTTTATAACAGTCCAATGAAGTAGATATTTATCATCCTGATTTTAAATTTGAGGAAGATCAAACAAGTTTTCAGTCTGCTCAAGGTTTCGCAATTAGCTGATGGGTATTAAAAATCCATGTAAAGGTTAACTGTAACCTTTCTTAAGCACTCTGTTTTGCTACAGCTTGTCTAGGTGTGGATTTTTGTTTTGTGTACCATTTGGATTTCCTTGTGCTTCCTGAATCTGAGAACTCATTTCTTTGAGCAATAATGGAAAATTTTATAATGTCTTTTCAAAGATTGACTCTTACAAATTTTCTTTATTCTTCTGCATTCTGGATGGATGAATGTTAGACTCGCAATTTCTTCTCTTTGTCTCTTTACCTCCCTTTTATATTTTTAACTCCATCTCTGTGCTTTTTCAGATAATTTCTTTAGAATTGTCTTCTAAATCACTAATTCTCTCTTTGGCTATTTCCGATCTGCTATTTAACCTGCACAATGAGTTTTTAATTTCAGTGATTCATTTCCATGTGATCTATGTAGTTCTTTTTCAAGTTGCCTGATTGTTTTTAATAGTTTTTAATTCTTTGCTTATGTTTTTGATTTCTCCTTTTATGTTTTTTTAAACATCTTAAGCATTTAAAAAATATTTGATTATTCTAATACTTTTGAAGGATCTAATTCTGTTGTCATGTCTGCTGAAATCTCCCTCATGATGGCTTGTTTCCCCATGGGTTTTTAATTTTTGAGTTGACCACTTACTATTTTGGTAACCTTAGTCTGTGAAAATCCTAAAAGGCCTGTGTGGAAGGTCTGCTCCTCCAGGAAACAGTTGCTTCTCTTGGGTGCCTAAGGGCTCTATCAGTTTAATTTCTCAGCCTCAAGTTTCCCAGACCATATAGGCAGTGTTTTGCTTGTTAGATTACCTATTGCACCACATTACTGTAAATGTGGAATCAGTGTACAGAGTAGTAGGTTGTTGGAAATGAATACAATAATTTAGAAAACTTAGCAAGGGAAAAATTTTGACAATTAAGAAAAGTACAAAGGAAGATGAGCCAGTAATGACTGACAGTGATCAGAGAAGTAGGTGGAAATCTAAGAGTAATTATTGCTTTTTTTAATAAGGAAGAGGGGGGAGATTCAAGGAGAGGATGGTCTGTTTATTGGTTCTTCTGTGTTCCAGTACAAATCTTGTCCTCTTTACTTTTTATCAATACTTTACTCCCCTGCTTTTTCCCTCTACCCCATCCCCCAAGAAAAAACATATTCACCGTGTGAACAGTTATTTGTTAACTTGCCTGTAGACTCTTCCGGATTATAAATGCTGAGGGCAGAGACCTTTGGTTATTCATAATGACTTCTCACATAATGAATATTTGAATTGCATCATTCTTACTCAGATGCTTTTTAAAAGGCATGCTTAAAAATACATTTCTAATTTTTCTAGACTTCTGAAACCAGTCCTGAATATAAATTCTTTTTGTTGGCTAGGGAGATCTTGTACGAAGACTGAAAGAAGATAAAGCACCCCAAGTAGATGTAGACAAAGCAGTAGCTGAGCTCAAAGCCCGGAAGAGAATTCTGGAAGCAAAGGTGAGACTGGGGATGCTAAAATAGTAATATAAGTAGGTATAGGATTGTTGATCTTTATATAATCTCTTTGAGTGGGAAAGACCTAGAAAAGTTTCTGAACAAGTATCATTTGGTTTATCTGTTAATCCAGAATGCCTTCTCCTCCTGTACCTGGCAGACTCCTCATCCTTTCAAAGTACAACTCAAAATGTCACCTTTTTTATACAGCGTTCTTTACCCCTACGCCCCTACCCCCCAGACCAATTATACTACAGGAATTTCCCTGGAAGGTATTGTGCTCTTCTTTATGAATTCTCCTATACTTGGACATAATAGTTTTGTTGTTTTTAAAATTTTTTTTTTCTTTTAAGGAAAAGGTCTATTCATCTGCTCCCAAACCTTTCAAACAGTAAACTTTCTATCACCAAATTTAAATAGTGACTCATTTTTGAGTCACCGTTTTGCTATAAAGATACACTAAGAATTCAGATATTGCTTATATTGCTTATCAGTATCTGCATTTAAGTTATTTTAGTGTTGTAGTCTTGGAAATGATCATATACTTTCCTAAATAATTAAGTAAAGGTATCTTTTGTGTTACTTTAACACAAAGTGTGGGGGGGAACTAAGTCTTCTGTTTTTTTTTTAAGAGTATCAAAATCTTGTCTGTTTGATAAATTTTACATTGAATTCTGCTGAGCAATAAACTAAATTCAGATATCTAAGTTCAAATTCTCACCCACCCCTCTAATCACACACTTTTTATTTTAATCCCTTACAGGAGCTGGCATTACAGCCCAAAGATGATACTGTAGACAGAGCAAAAATGGAAGATACCCTGAAGAGGAGGTTTTTCTATGATCAAGCTTTTGCTATTTATGGAGGTAGGGGATTAATGTTAGAGTGAACAGTTGGTTGTTAGTGGTTTTAATATTATTCTTACATCATGAACGTGGCTTGCCAATTGGTATCTAATTACATCAGGTTACATAAAGCAAAGGATGGCTATCTTGCTTTTGTTTGCTTAGAGTTGTCATTTGGTGTAATACCTGTTGTTACTTCTCTCCACCTATTTATTACTTTTTTTTTGGTGGCTGGCTGGTCAGGGGTGCTGAACCCTTGACCTTGGCGTTATCAGCCCCAGGCTTTAACTAAGAGAGCTAACCGGCCAGCCTATTTATTCTTGAAGCCTGTTTTTCTCCTCCAGGATGTAAGGAACTGTTGGGGGCCCAGGTACTAAGCATTTGATGTGTTCATGTACTTATACACTCTTCTCAAAATGCAGTGGAGACTTAGGAGCAGTAGAGGACCATTGTAGTCCTGGCTAACTGCACTGCACCCCTCCACACAAGGGCAATGAGAACAGAGTCTTCAGATTTTTCATGGTGGGCATTTGCCAGGTGAAAACATTCTTCACCAGTATACCAATAAATCATATCTTTCTGAATGCTGTATGAATGTCTACAGGTGAATATAATTCATTGATTAAATGTAGAACTATATTTTTCATAATAAACAGAGATCATTACAACATTAGACTTTTAGTACTTTGCCATTGAAACTTTATTTGTGTTTAGCTAAGCAGATCTGTAAATGTTTAACTTCTTGAGGATTAAATAGTGGTTCAAATACCCAAGAATAAATTAGAGAATTGGGTGCTAAAATTTTAGGTCATTGTTATCAGCTGCAGTGACAGCTAATTTATGTGGCAGAAAATTATAATCTGCTTTTTTATTCTGTTTCTTGTATATGGGGGAATGTCTTTTGTTTTAAATTTTGGGCTAATTCTACTTGAAATTACAAATAGAGAAATAAATGGAGTAAGAGCTTTTTTATTTTACTTCTGTCAACTAGCTGTAAGTAAGGCTCTGTGGTACTGGTGGATTTGAATTGTTTGATGTCAGTTTCTCATGTCAACTTGCCTTCATTTAGTTCAGAGTGACAAGGTAAAGTATAAGTTTTCCTCTCATATTTTGTAGGTGTTAGTGGTCTGTATGACTTTGGGCCTGTTGGATGTGCTTTGAAGAACAATATTATTCAGATCTGGAGGCAGCACTTTATCCAGGAGGAACAGATCCTGGAGATTGATTGCACCATGCTCACCCCTGAGCCAGTTTTAAAGTAAGATCCTACTTTGAGGGTGGAAATTCTTTAACATACAAATTTAAGTAACTTTCTGATTACAAAAAACTACCCATATTCATGTAGAAAATCCGAATGTCATTAAATATTCATCTAAAGCATTTTTAATGACAGCATAGCATAGTATTCTGTTTTATGGATGTGCCATAACTTACTTAATTAGTGCTATATTATAGGCATTTAAATTTTTTCTGATGTTGACTGCACTGACCTTCCTGATAGATGGATTTTTGTGTATATCCCTAATTATTTCCTTATTATAAGTTCTTAGAAGTTCTGAGTAAAGGTGTGTATACATTTTAAATCAAGTACTTCACTATTTGTATTAAAGTTTCAAAGTAGAAATTTGGATTATTTCTACCAGCATTGTTGAAAGTAGGGCAGGGTTTCTTGGACATGAAACTGTGAAAGACTGGTTTTCTTTGTAATCACTTTATCCATTTAATGTTGCCCAGTAAAAAGCTAGTTTTTAGTATTTATATCCTTTAGGCTCTCTCTTAATAATTTCAGCCAATTAATACGAGGGATTTCTGATGATAGGTCTATAAGATGAGGACTAGCTATTCTTCAGCTACTTGCTCCACTAATAGGAACTGGGGGAGATAAAACCACTGTCTGTGCAGGTTTCAGTGGCAGAAAACTTTCCTTAAGGTTCACTGTCTATACTGAGTTAACATGAATTATTGGCTAGTCAGATTCTCAGTGATTTTGGCCTTTGCTTAGATCACTAATGATAATGGCATAGGCATGGATTAATTGATCCTGAAAAGAAGTACAGACTTTATGACAACTTGTGAAAAAATATAACCTAGTTAATGTCTGTTTTCTTATGGGAAGGAAGAACTTAGGGAGAGGGTGAGGATAAATTTGAGGAAGAATTTTCTCTGGCATACTTTACTATCTAAATATATCATTATTATAGCTATGGGAGCGTCCATCTTTGAAATCCATAGGTATAAACTAGGATGAATATATTGAAGGGGGATTTGTCTTTTAAGGTAATATCTATGTATTAATTTGTATGAGAATGACAAATTGGCTTGACATCTGTTAACTTAGGACCTCTGGCCATGTAGATAAATTTGCTGACTTCATGGTGAAAGATGTGAAAAATGGAGAGTGTTTCCGTGCTGACCATCTGTTAAAAGGTATGTTTCTTCATCTCGTTCACATAGGATTGAAGGGTTTCAAAACAAAGGATTTTTAGAGTAAGTTTTCTCTCAAATTATTTCGATTAAATTTTTTATTGAGGCATAAAGTATACTGATATTAAGTATGAAGATCAAGTCCCTTATTTAAAAAAATTATATAAAGATAATTGATTATATACAGGAAATAATTTTCCTAATTAGCAAAAGAGTCAAGACAATGTCATGACTGCACCTGTAAAATCAACTTTGGAATTCAAATAAATTAACTTATTCTTGGATTTATTTTTTTAATGGATTTATTTTTTTTAATTGTCCAGCATTGAAACTCAAAAGTGCATTGTCCTTTTCTGCATTGATTAAAATTGACAAGTATCAATACTGTTCTTGTAGCTCATTTACAGAAATTGATGTCTGATAAGAAGTGTTCTGCTGAGAAGAAATCAGAGATGGAAAGTGTCTTGGCTCAGGTGAGTACTTCAGAGATGTTATCAGAGTAACCTAGGCAGGCACTGTCTTTCTTTCAGCATTTGATAACTGTTAGATTCCACATCGTGCTGACTCTGGCTACAACTGTAAGGAAGCGGAGTTTACCTGTGGTCCTTCTTAGCATCTCTTCGTATTTTTATTTTTTTTCTCTATCTTCTGTGGCTAACCCTTTATTTTAGCCAAAACTAACAAGTCAGTGTAAATAGGTATTAAATCTGTTGTCTCTCCTTGGAAACCCAGTTTTCTGGATTTAATAGCTAAAACCGGAGGAGGGACTGCTGATGAATAGTGTTCAGACTGGGGCAGATAACTTCGTGAGCACTGTCTCAAAAGCCACTTGATCTGACTCTGGTCGGACTATCCCTGACTACGTGCTGTTATTCTTAGAACCTGATGAGCAGGTTCCTGCTTTTCTGCCCCTGTTTTTCTTAATTTGCCTGTATACCTAAAGATTTATTATTTGTACTTAAGATGATAAATTTTAGGGAAGGCAAAAGAGACCATAGAGGTAATTTATTCTGACCTTTTACCAAGTGCAGGAATACCTTCAATGTTAGAAGTAGTTCTTATCCTTTTTTTGGGTTGCAGATCACTTTAAGAATATAATGAAAACTTCACATCTTCCCCCAGAAAGGTGCACATGTCCATGTATATATGTTGCTGGTTTCTCACCTCATTTATCAGCAGTTTCATTTAAGCAAAGTATATTTCTCTAACACCATGTTTGGTCATGAGGTCCACTAAGGCTCACCTTATAAACTTTATGTACCTCCTGGGTGAAAAACAAACAGAAAACTGGTATTGTGTTTGTGCCTATTTTCTTTAAATGGATATATCTGAGGCTGAATATAGGACTCCCTAACTTTTTGCCTTTTTTTCCTGGAAATAACTGGATACTTTTCCACTGTTTCCCTAATTTTTTTTTTTAATGTGCTCATTTTTCACTATGGTATCTAGCTTTTTAATGTTAACTGAGAAATTTTCTCTTTCATTTAAATTGAAAACTTTCTTAATCTGGCTGTTGAATCATTTATTTTGTTCCTTGTGAAGTATATTTTATCCTTTGCTTGAAGGTCATTGCTTTAATACTGTTGCTCATGGTTTAGAAAGTCATTTCTTGTGTTTCAGCGCTGTTATAGTCACATGTTTATTTCCTTCCTTTTCCAAAGGCATGACCTTTACTAGGAAAGAAGAAATGAAACATGCCTCTAATTACACCTAAATTCTTCTGTTTCCCATTTAGAGTTTCAGACTTACTAAGGTTCTGCATGTTTATGTCTTTGAGTGTTGTGTCTTTGATTTTAACAGTTTCATTAATTTCTGAAAATTGTCAGAATTTGGAAGTAACTAGTTGATTTGATGTCATAATTTACAGTTTGAGCACTGGCTTTCTGTTTCATTTTAGATCCATGTTCTGAGAGAGCAATCTGTTATTTGATTTGCCATATCATATATATATATATATATATATATATAT